GATATGTCATCCTTGTTTATGTTCATACTGCTGTATGCTGTGTATTGATTGCGTTTTATCTAGACGACGTAGCCTCTTAGGGGAGCGCTGCTTTGTTGGCGAAAAATAAAATAAACAAGCAAGAAAATAAACACTGCATGTGCTTTGCCAGCTGCGGTGTCCGATTCTCAAGCGTTTTTTTACGTGTGAGACTCTTATTGCTAACCTTGATAAAGTTATCATAATCCAACACACCTTTTGGAAATGCAGGTTTTGGCAAGGAGTATTCAGAGGCACAGTAAGAGGAGGCTGAAGGGAGTTCCGTTTTAAAATACGGTCGCCGCGCATCGAGGAAAGCATGGAATGTGGACGTTCGTAGAACACCTTATTTCACACGACCAACTGAGTGACCAAAAAGGAGCGTCTGGAGATACTCCACAATGGAAACAAGTAAGACGTTGAGTCCGCGACCGCTTTGGGGTGACAAGAAACCCCTGTCGATGAGTTCGGAGAATAACAGCCGAACCACGTTAGCCTCGGGCGGAGACGCCCATCAGGTAGCCAGTACTACGCAGGTGATCGGTTTGTGAAAGGGAAAAGGAAAAAACTGATCAAAAAACGAAGGAATGAAGTGTTAGGTAGAGTCAGCGGCCTTTGATGTCATTAGTGAAGGTTTGCATTGCCTCTAAAGCCAGTATTCCAAAAGCTTTCGCTTTTGTCCTGGATTACTTTGGTGGCATTTATTGAGTCGTTAAACGGTCTGTCAGTCAGGGGGAGAGGGGGAGGGTGGTATTAGGGTGTTACGACGTACCAGCTGCTGAGTCTACATAACGTCGCCTGTCTCTCACTCTGGCAGAAACAACGCACACCGTGGAAAGCGCACCCAAACCGCACCTAAGCCGCACCCAAGGTTTAAAGGGATTGCTCCACGTTTGTAGGGGTCTTGAATTCAAATAGCCATTTTGAAGATCATTGGGTGTAGTTCACAGCCCTACTCTTCTTAAGACCTAAACCATGCCAGTCTCTGAGCTGCACGCATGCGGAGATGTGCAGACTATTTCGGGGAGACTTCTTCACGGTCACCCAGGCATCCATGGCGCCATAACTACGTCATTCAAATCCTGTCATTCCATTGGCCATCTGGCGATCAAGGCAAAACAAGATACGGTTGAGTCGTTCATATCTGGTGTTCGTGATCACAATTTCCAGGCATAGCGGCCGTCCTTTGGCTCTCAATCAATGCTGTGTGGGCCCCGATGACGTGATCAAGCTTTAACGCATTGAGGAGCATATTTACTAAACAGGAAATCGTGCTGTCTAGAGCAGTCTTTTCCACTAGCCAAGTGTGCCAATAGTGTAAGTGGGCTTGAGTCGTATTGTCTTGAGTCTTAGGGGGTTCTTATAGGGGTTTATGGAGCTTCTTTAGATCCATTATTTTTTATGTTTGCTTCACTATTTTCAAACGAGGAGCATTCCGTTTGAAGGACGCGCAGTTTAACCACTACGCTGCCAGTAGCCTTGGTCTACTTGTCGGGGTCAGCCACACAATGAGAGGTCGGACAGGGTCGCCATCAGAATACATGTAGGGTGAACATGAAAACATGCTACCAATGCATTACTGCGCTCCCGTGCGACGCGTAGGTCAGTATGACGAGCTTCCAAATCAATGACTTGCATGTGCCGTGTAAACCGAGAGGAAATAAGTGTGCTGCAGTCCCTTGACGTTACGTGCCTGTTGCCCAACTCAACCTGCTTACCTCACATGACCCTGACATGCCCTGACGGCCCTTGACCTTTGTTAACGTTTTGACATGATCATGAATTGCAAGAACACGGTTTCTTTGAGTGCCACTCTCAAAGCCGCACAACAAATATTACGGGCGGGAGAGAATTAATACGTAAATTCTCACGTTTAAAGCTCCCGGCGTGCCTTTGTGACGTCATCAATCGCGTAAAAGAATGGCCGCGTTGATCTCTGAGCGAGGTTGGCCAGGACTATCCTCTGCCGTGTGATAATTATCCATGCTGACCATTTGATCATGGGCAACAGTTACGGGGGGGGGGGGGGCAAGCTCCTTTAACCCCCGAGATGGTCGCTAGCTGCGGAATACTCAGGGCGGTGCCGGTTTCAGTGCCCCATGGGTGCTGCTCACTCTAGCGGCCCATAAGGGCTACTGGCAGTGACTCCATCACGGCCCGACCCCCCCCCCCCCCCTTCTCTGTCTCTCGCACGCGCGCAAAAATCTGGATTGTTACCCTAAAGATGTAAACGTGTCCAGTCAGATGTGCAGTTTCCTGCTCCGTCGGCAGGAATTCAGCCCTCCAATTCTGAAAACGCATTCGGCGAATCCTAAAGAAACCCGTTTTGAGCGTGCTTTCGGCAAGTGTGGCCATTTTCACTGCCCCATCCCGCCCCCCCCCCCCCCCCCCCCCCCCCCCCGCCAGCACCCTGTAACTTTACGGAGCTCTCCCGCTGCGTGAGTGAAGTGCCAGCTGCCCGTGCACAGCGCCACACACGCTGCTCTCCGTGCAGCGAGTTGAACCGCCCTCCCTGCCTGTGGGTTGTCAGTGATACTATCGAAGCTCACTTGCTGGTCACCTGCTCATCCATATTCGAACGGTTTACAGAGTAAGTCGAGTGGAGCTGTCGTTTGCTGGCCATAATTGATTTGTGCATGCCGCTGACTCCGGTGCGGCAAACAGGCCTGTGACGTTCTGTTTCTGTTTCGCCGGGTAATGGTGACCGCTGTTTCACCGCCACCGACGAGAAGGTGCGCGTGATTACACATCCGGTTTGCGGCTACGCTCTGGGTTCATAACCGCCAGCGGACTATTGGCCCGGTGCAGACCTTACGTCGCACGGTCCTCCAGTACACCGTACACTCGATCTGAGGCGTGCGAGACCTTACGCGTATATCGTAACGCATACCGCATATCGCGCATGCTCCAAACGCATAGCGTCGCCGACATAGCTCACTCCGTGCGCAGCATCAAGTGTCGATGGCTACCAAAATCCAACGCGAGTCTTCGACTCTTCACCCGCTCAAGAGCGGGCGTAACCAGCACTACGCAAACAGAGGAAGGCTGTGGCGTGAGGCTGGTGAACTGCTCCTCCGCTCCGGACATAGCCGCCGTCAACTGAAGCCTAACACCAGCGCCGACCACTATACAAAGTATTTATTCACACTCCGGGGTGGGGTAAACGCGGCGATACAGCAAGGAGAAGGAAGAGGCTGGAGCCGACCGGGGTGCCGGAGCCGGCAGTACAGCCGGGCATGTCCGACACCAGTGATTTCCGAAGTACATGCATGATCCGCGCGGTACAACACCCGGGAACATCAACACTGAGGGACACGACTCGCGGTTTCAAGCACGCGAGGACAAAATAAACATGCATATGCCACATATTCAGAGACGGTTAGCGCCAAACTCATTCGCAAATATGGCGAAGCGCTGCACGTTCGCGATGAGACGGTCCTGTAACAATGTTTACATTAGCGCCAGACCCATCCGCAAATATGGCGAAGCACTGCACGTTCGCGATGAGACGGTCTTGTAACAATGTTTACAGCATGATAGGGCCAACGCCTCACATCAAACGCAGCTCGGACGCGGGCAGAGCGCTGCTTCACACACCTGAAGAGGCCGCGGGGGCACTCATGCACACTCGTGTCTCCTTCACTCTCTGCTGCAATGGGAATCTACTCACAACCATAATTCTGAAAGAGGAGTAGTGGAAACTCTGAAAACAACGGCGTGGCAAACGCCACTAAAACCGCGACTGTCGGCTTGCAGCCAGCATTTGGCCTCTGGCAGGGGACGACCCCCAGCAGCCGAACGAACTGGCATTGAAGCCCCCTTTCAAGAGGGACCACCGGTGCCAGTCTGCCAGTCTACCTGCGAGGTTCCGGCCCGCCCTCCGCCGCCCCCCCAACTGCGCACGCAGAATGCCCTCTCCCCTCCAGCGACCCAAAACGGGCGAACATCGTCACGACCGAAGGCACCTCAAGCCTGACCAACCGCTAGATAAAAGGGCCTCTCTACGCACAGCCTGAATGACCCCGGTCGCTCGCCGCCACGTTCGCCTGCAGTCCATCCGCAGACGGGGCACTGGTCTCCGTTAAAAGATCGCACTAACCTCCGACGAAGCTCGTGAGCCAGGCTCCGCCGAGGGTACCCATGGGCCGACGGGCGTCCCGCCGCGAGCGGACGCAGAACTTGGCACTGAAGCGGAATGGAATGAGATTGGCGCGGACAGAGAAGCGTGGCGCCGTCCGGCTCACCCGCCGCCAGGCAGGCGAGCCTCCGCCGGGAGACGTCAGCCATGTTCATTGCATAGTCGCGCAGCAGCACACGGTAGTCAGCACCAGAGGTTAGAACCCGCACTTGGCTCGTGCACCGTCCGCCCGCACCACACACAGATCTCGTCAGGACCCCGCGCCGCAGTGCACCATGACGATAAATGCATCACTTAAACCGTGCGTGGCATACGTAAGGTATGTACAGCGCGGACCATCAGCCGCACGCACGTGATGTCCGGCGTCACGCCTGCCGGCGAGCGGTGGAGGCCGCTGAAACCGACGGAGCGGCGCCGCGACCCGAGCCACTCCACCAGCATCTGACGCCTTCAGCCGCGCGAGCAGCGCTGGTGACGCCCCCGCGTCACTCCGCCGCTCCAGCGGGACCAGTGCCGTCCGATGGCGGCTGGGCGGCGTCCGGGCTGGTGGCGCCCCCGCGTCACTCCGCCGCTCCAGCGGGACCGGCGCCGTCCGATGGCGGCTGGACGGCGGTCGAGCTGGTGACGCCGGCCGTCCGTCGGCGCTGCTTGGTCGGCGGCCGTTCGGCACCGAGGCGCCGGCCAGTTCGCCGGCAGCGGCTGCTCAGCTCCGGCCAGCCGCCTGCATGAGTACCGTCGGCGCCTCCCTCCGTCCGCGAAGCAGCCGCCTCCACGTCTGGCCGGCCGCGCGGGGCTCAGGCGAGCGAGCGCACGTCTCCAGCGGCCGCAGTGTGCGCACGGCGACTCACGCGAGCGCGTTCACCTCGGCCGGCGACGTGCTGAAGCTCAGCGAGGTCTGGCGTGTCAGGCGCACGTTGCGCAGCTGGCTCACCGCCGCCACCACGTCGGCGCGCGCCTCGAAGAACGCCACCAGCGGCGGCTCGGTCAGCACGGACGCGACGAACTGCTCGAACGAGACGGCCCAGTCGGCATCCGGAAGGCGGCCGGCGGCGGACGGCGCCTCGTCGGCCGCCGGCTCCGGCGTCACCTCGGACAGCGCCTCCGATAGCAGCGACATGTCCGTCAGGCCGTCCACCGGCCGCGCCTGCCGGGGTCAGGGGTACGTGGACATTACCCAGGGGTCATGACAGAGGTCAGCATCGAGCATTAAGGGACGCAAGGAGGCAGTAGAAGTCAGCAGTGGGCCGATAACAGTCAGCTGGTCAACAGGGGTCAACAACAGGTCAACGGGGTTAACAACAGGTCAACAGGAGTCAGCGGAGTAAACAAGTTTAGAAACAGGAGCCGGTGTTACTAACAGTAACAGCAATCGGTGGCTGACATGGGCATAAATAGGAAAAGCTTCACTAGAACCGCCTTCATCTTTCTTGGCATAACATGTCATGTGATGATGGTCAACATACCAATGATTACCGACAGGCCACTAAACCGGGTCACGTTAGGTCCCCTCTCACTAAACACAAAAGAAGTGTTATCAAAAGTAGCGGCACGACGATGTGTGACTGTTCCTAAAAACTTTTTTCAAGAATTCAGAGGAATAGCAGTCCACAGGGTTAATACACCGGTCGTAAAATGACCCATGTCGGCACGCTTCGTCGATAACAATGCACTTTTGTAAAGAAATAATGGTGCATGCCGTCAGCAAGTTACACTGCTCGACTACGTCCTGCTATTTACCGCATGCATCATTAATGTACGGTACATTCAAAGATGATGGTACTTGTGCACAACAGTTCTGCTCGCGCCGACATTACAACGCAGCGCATATGACACACACATGAGCACACAAAGCGTCGAGCACGTGATCGGAAACGCCCGGGTCCGCAGCATGGGCGAACACATTGTCAGTAAATGCACCAGGGTCAAGCGCTCCTTCCTGAGCGCGACGCGCACAGAAGGAGAAACTTCCGAGCCCGTGCTTCTGTAAGCGTAAGCCGGGTTCTGTATACCACATACAACGCCCTACCTAGCAGAGCCTCTGTTTTTCACAGACCCATCTAGACCAGCTAGACAGGCTCGCAGTCAGGCCACGGACCCCAGACTGCCGCCGGCAGCGTCACTGACCTCCGGGCCCTGCAGCACGGCTGACGCTGAGGCCGTGCGCTCCTTCTGAAACCGCTTGCCCACCTCCCCGATTTGCAGCAGCAGCGTCCCTGCCGACCGGCGGAGCCGCAGCGTCAAACGCCATACAGCGTCAAACGCCACACGGCGTCAAACGCCGCACAGCGTCAAACGCCACACAGCGTCAAACGCCGCACAGCGTTAAGCGCTACACAACGTCAAACGCCACACAGCGTCAAACGCCACACAGCGTCAAACACCACACAGCGCCAAACGCCACACAGCGTCAAACGCCACACAGCGTCAAACGCCACACAGCGCCAAACGCCACACAGCGTCAAACGCCGCACAGCGTTAAATGCCACACAGCGTCAAACGCCACACAGAGTCAAACGCCGCACAGCATTAAACGCCACACAGCGTTAAACGCCACACAGCGTCAAACGCCACACAGCGTCAAACGCCATACAGCGTCAAACGCCACACAGCGTCAAACGCCGCACAGCATTAAACGCCACGCAGCGTTAAACGCCACACAGCGCCAAACGCCACACAGCGTCAAACGCCACGCAGCGTCAAATGCCACACAGCGTCACATGCCACACAGCGTCAAACGCCACACAGCGTCAAACGCCACACAGCGCCAAACGCCACACAGCGTCAAACGCCACACAGCGTCAAACGCCACACAGCGCCAAACGCCACACAGCGCCAAACGCCACACAGCGTCAAACGCTACACGACGCAAACATGTACGACGCCCGCCAACACAACGCAAACACGCTTACACTCACGCAGCCAAACACACCCCTGTAACGAAGTTGTCCCGCGAGCGTCACGCGAATAGTTCTGCCACATCAAGACGTCGCGGCATAGTTCGCGAGCGGCGCATATGGAGGAGTGGCAGTGCACACGGCGCCCCAAGACACAGGCTTGAAATGGCGCGAAACACCAAGTCAGACACCAAGTCTGACAGAGCAGTCCACACCAGAAACACCAAGTCACACCAGAATCAGACTGACCACTTCCATCACAGCGCCAGCACATCGCTCGCGCGGACGTGAACGACATTCGTGTCAACCAAAGCCCGTCGAGGACACTCGGAATACCGCGCCACCGTTCGCCACGTGCCACACCCGCCTCTGCGCCCCCTACCCGCTCCGCCGACCGTTCCCGCCAGCGCCCGCTCTCACCGACGTGCGCGATCGAGTGGAAAATCTCCGGCCGCGTCTGCTCCTCGCTGAACATGTCGTACAGCGCGCGCCACATGTAGATGAACTGCTTCTGGTTCATCATCGGCACCTGCGACGACTCCTCGCCGGTGCCGCTGGCACCTGGCGGCGGAAAAGGGAACTGTTCGGGCACCGCGGCTGGCGGCTGCCGACTCCACGCGCCGGCCACGCCACAAACCAAGCCACGCGACGGCCCAAACGTTACGGCTGCCGAACACCACAGGCCACGTGGTAATGCTTAGGTTTGAGCGACGCGACTGGTGTCCGCTTCCTCAGCGAGTAATGACGGGAGTTATGTTCATGATGATGCCGCTACTGGCACCTTGAGAAACTACAAGCAACACCTTCTTGACAGAAGTCTCAAGCGCGACATCCAGCAGAAGACAGGCATCTACAGCCAGACTGGAGATCGAAGTTTTCAGAAGCTTAAATAGTATGAGGTGGTTAGCACCGTTGTCTGACGTGTTCCAAAGGCCTGCGAAGGCACTGGTCCCTGGTGCCGTCCCGTGACCTTGGACGTTCCATGACTGACCTGAGGCACCCCTGGGCCGCTGACTCACCTGAGGTGAAGCTGGTGTCGCTGACCGACCTGACGCGGCCCTAGTGCCGCTGACTGACCTGAGGTGGAGCTGGTGCCGCTGACTGACCTGAAGCGCCCCTGGTGCCGCTGACTGACCTGGGGTGAAGCTGGTGCCGCTGACTGACCTGAGGCGAAGCTGGTGCCGCTGACTGACCTGAAGCGCCCCTGGTGCCGCTGACTGACCTGAGGTGAAGCTGGTGCCGCTGACTGACCTGAAGCACTCCTGGTGCCGCTGACTGACCTGAGGTGAAGCTGGTGCCGCTGACTGACCTGGGGTGAAGCTGGCGGCGCTGACTGATCTGAGGTGAAGCTGGTGCCGCTGACTGACCTGAGGTGAAGCTGGTGCCGTTGACCGACCTGAGGCGCCCCTGGTGCCGCTGACTGACCTGGGGTGAAGCTGGTGCCACTGACTGACCTGAACCGCCCCTGGTGCCGCTGACTGACCTGAGGTGAAGCTGGTGCCGCTGACGGTGCGCGAACGGTGCCCATCGCCCAGCACCAGCTCGCGCATCTCGGCCAGACTGATGGGCGGCGGCTCGGCGTCAGACAACGCCTCGAAGTACTCGCACGCCTCCGACGCCACCTCGGTGTTGTCTGCCGACCGCCGCAGACGGAAGGCGTCAGTGGCGCTCACCACAAGCCGGCGCCGGCGCCAGTGCACACTCCCGCACGGCGGTGACGAGTCGGCGGCGCGACACGACTCGTCACATGGCTCGTGTTCGGCTGCGGCGGCGCTCGGGGGCTATGTGGCGGCGGGTTGACGCCGCAGCATCCTCAGAGGTCGGCCGGCGCGCCGGTTGAAGGCCGGAGCGCGCGAGGACGGCCGTGCGAGGCGACCAATCGCCACCAACGACAGCCTTCGGTTCGGTTGGACAGGCTGTGATAGTTCGGATAGCTTGGAGCGCAGCAGCAGCGTCCACACAACGAGCTCTGCTTAGTGAGCATCCTGGTCGCAATGCTTCACAGCTACAAGGTTCGAGCGTGCTTGGTTTGCAATGGTACAGTTAGAGGGTCAGGGGCCGGGCAAGCGCGTTACAGACCGCACGGCGAGCGTGCCGGGCCGGCCCGGGTGAGTCCACCTCGTCGTCGGGCGGGTGTGGCCCCTCACCCGAGATGGGCGAGTCCATCTCGTGCTGGTCGAGTAGCGGCGGCAGGTGGAGGCAGTAGAAGAGCCGGAGGCGCCGCGGCAGGTCACTGCGGGTCATCAGGCCGAGGAGCCAGGCCAGCTGGCGCAGGTCCAACAGACCGTCCCCACTGGTGTCCATCAGCTGCGGCACGGGAACACGGCACAGTCACGGTACAGTGCAGCACACAGTCGCAATAGCGCCGCGTGCAGTCGCAGTGCAGTGCAGCGTACAGTCGCAACAGAGCCGCACTCACAGCACAGTGTCGCGCACAGTCGCAGCACAAAGCCGCGCACAGTCGCAGGAGTGTTGCGCGCAGCCACAGTACAGTACCGCGCACAGTCGCAGTACAGGACATCTGCAGCGCACAGTCCCACCGTAGACAGGACAGTTGATTCAGTGGCACAGCGCTGAACGGCTGCCTCACACGGTTGAACGGCCAACATGTTCGACATGGTCCCGCTGCGAGGGAGAGTGGTTCTCTTTGGCTGTCGCCCAGTCTCACGAATGTGTCCGAGGACTTCTTACGAACGGGCGTGCGACAATATCGATAAAAGGTAGGGGCGTCAGGCTGAACTACGCTTACATTTGAAGGGTATCTCCGTGTCTTTGACGAAACATTCGCTACGAAGGTGGCTGTTAAAAAAATACGTCAAAAGCTTTTGCTGTATTTAACTGCCGTCGGAAAAGCACAGCCGGCAGGCTCGCGCCGCGGATAGTTTGCTGCCAATGTTCCCGGCTCGAATCTGCATGCATCTGAGGCGTTCACTGACACGGAGCTCCGATAGAAAAGGCGCCCCGGGCTAGTGTGTGCGCCGCGTGGTGATCGAACTCAAAGCCGCGTTTGCGCCACAAGGATGGCAGAACGCCCGCTGCATGTTATGCCTGAGACACGGCGGGGTCAGGCTGCTTTTCAAAAAAATCTGGATGGAAAGGTCCTTGCCCGTGAATCAAGCGAGGAATGAGAAAACATCGACCTCGCAATAAGGAACAGGCGTGAGATACGTACTATGCGTGCCATGGACGAGGAACAGAGCGTGTGAGGTCTAACACTGGAGGCCGTGGACACGTTTGGTGGTAATGCTGTCACCTCACCGATCCGGCACCCAGGGCAGCAGCTCAAGTCTCACCTTGAAGGCGCGAGAGGCGATGCTGTCCGCCATGGAGCCGGCGCTCCAGTTACACAACTTGTGGAAGAGGGTGTGGAAGAGGGGGTAGTCCACCTGGCGGCGACATCAATGGTGAGAGGTGGCGCTAGGTGACCCTCTTCCTCTTCCCCCACATCCCCACATACACCAGCCCAACCAGCAGCGAGTCGCATGCACGAAGCGAAAACATCATTGCGGACCATGCCAGCTGTCGTTCAGGGAGGCAGACTGTATCTCTGGCACCCCGCCAGTTCCATAACGGGACAACCCCTGATCAGGGTGAGCACGACTCCCCAATATTTGACCGATCAGGGCGCCAGGGAGCCCCACTCGGACGCCTCCAGCGCGAGCCCCGGTACCCGACCCCGCCCAGCCCCCGCGCACGGCCATCAAACACCGCCCGCGTGTCTCGCTCCCCACGTCACCCGCCAGCGGGCCTGCGCCGCCGGACGCCGGCGTGCCAGCTCAACCAGCCGAGCAAACAACACACACGCCGGCCGGAGGACGGCCGGTGTCAGATCACAGGCACTGGCATCGACCCGGCCGCGTCACTCCGCTGGCATGACGCGCTGGGGCCGCCTTGCTGGAATCTCGCGACGTCTTCGATTCTAAAGCCAAATACCCAATTCGATTCTAAAGCCAAATACCGTACCGACATAAAAACGATCCGAATTATGAGGTCAAAGTCCCTGAGCTGACAGCAATCCACCCTCCGTGTGTGCGGAGGCACTCGTTAAGCGTTGATATCAAGCAAACACCGGCCGTACCATACACACACGGGTGTTTTAAGCCGCGCTCATGGCCACGAATGGTCCGACGACAGTCAGCTTACAGTCACACAGTCACAACCCGCGTCACGTCCTGTACAACACGCACAATCCCGCCAACACTTCCCCGAGCCCCGGCGCGGTGCCCTCCTCTCTAGGAGCCGCCGGCGGCGCCCCGACGCCTCGGTCCAGCAGGTCAGAGCGAGGCACCCGTCCATCGGGGCGCGCCGACGCCCCTCCCCTCCGAGACCGCGCCGGGGAGCCGGCCGAGCCGGGCGCCCACCTTGTACAGCTGGTAGTTGTGCACGGACGGGTCCTGCTTCTCGGCCGGGTCGGGCAGCGCGCCGCGTCCGTACGACTGCAGCGTCAGGTACTCCTCCTTGATGTAGAGGAACAGGTCCTGCCGAGGCGTCACGGCACAGTCACCGGCCGCCGTGTCTGAGTACGACTGTACTTTTGATGTGGCGCCGCCAAAGGCATTGGTTGGATGGCTTGACGGGGCTTATGAATTCAGTGACACTGCGCAACCTACACACGACGACAAGCCTGCGAGAGGGTGTGAGCTCTCGTCATGGATTTGCCCATGTATAGTGGGACAATAAATGAAACAAAGGCTGGCGAGGACAGAGGACTAGACAACACATGACTGCGCAGCAGGAGACATGACAGGACAGGACAGGACAGGACAGGACAGGACAGGACAGAACAGAACAGAACAGAACATAGTAGAGCAGAACAGAACATAACATAACAAAGTTTAGTAGAGTAGAGCAGAGCAGGGCAGGGCAGAGCAGAGCACGACAGAACAGGACAGGACAGGACAAAGTTGCACAGCACAGCACAGCACAGCGCAGGGCACGGCACGGCACGGCACGGCAGGGAACGGCAGCACAGGACAGCACAGGACGGGATCTGACCTTCAGCTCTGCCGCCGTGAAGAACTGCTCAGCCTCCACACAGCGGATCATGCTGTTCATCGTCGAGTCCTCGATCGTCTGGATCACCTGGTGACGTGAGAGAACGTGACGTCACCCACACGGCCTGCGTCGAGGTGTTCGGGCGCGGCCATGGCGGTCTGAACACGCAGGGCAACCCTCACGTACACTCAGCGGTCCTGGACCAGCTCATACCAGCCCACCGAACCTCACAGTTATAGGAGCAATCGCAAAATAGCTGAACCATGGTCTCCATTATGACGCCTACTCATATATCTCAATGACGATACCTAAGTGCACACGCCCTGCCGGGGAAGCGTGAAGGCCGAGTGATTAGCTCCTCGGAACCACACGTGGGGGCGCAGGTTCGAATCCTGGGAGCAGCATGGCCTCTGAGCCCTGCTATAGCCAATGCGGTCCCTGGAGGTCGATGAAGCGGGGGCGCAACGACATGCGTCGCGTCCTCTTTTCATAAAAACGCTGCTGCACTCGACGGTGGCGCCACGCGGCGGCGCTCACCTTGAGCCGGTGCTTGAGCCGCAGGCGCTCGATGGCCGAGTTGGTCAGCTTCCCGAAGTTGGTGTACGCCTCGTATATCAGCAGCGAGACGTCGATGCTGGTGTTCTGCAGCAGCCAGAAGCCGGCGGACGATCGGGGGCGTCACACGACGCCAGACAAGCAAAACATATGAATGCAGACCGGCAATGCAGACAGCGGTAGAAAACAGTCAATGAGTCTATGGACAGCTGTGGAAGTGCCGCACTTTCATCTGTGCCTCCGCACGCACGAGAGCAGGATACGCCCGCATGGCCGCAACACGGCCAGATTTTTACAGGCTCGGACACGGTGAAAGAAGCCGTGACGGACAAAGAACACGTTACAGTGAAAACGTAGGCTTCATGTTCAAGAACTAGGGAAAACACGTTTGCGATCAGGGAGCAAACGATGCAGCAGTGTCTTCAGGTGCATGACAGCTTGGCTAGCGGATGTGTTTAGTCGTTAACCTAATGACTAGTCAATGTTGCAATCATATAAGCAGGTTACGGCAGATATTTCACAGCATTTTCCGTCCCGATACTTAAGGCAGTTGTCATGCTAATGACGTCACAGGCAACTGACGTCAACGGCATATCCGCCAGCGCCTCACTGCCTCTAGCATTTTCTCTCTGCTCGGTGCTTCCAGAGTGCTACGTATGCAATCAGTCACAATCTACTTTCGTTGTCACCCACTCTCTTAAGGGCATGTCAGGCACAGAAAGCGCGGATAAAATCGCACAGGGCCGGGACACGGAACTTACTAAAACAAATGCGAAAGGACGCATTTTCCCATTCCAAGCCATCTCCCACACCACGCCGAGCACAGATCCAGACACAGTACAAATATAACAGGGAGCTTCCCGCGTGCTGCGTGCAATGCCAGCCATGTGATAGCCATGCGGTGCCCACCTAAGCCACATCGGGCGAGGTCGGGGCATACCAGGACAGGTCAAAAAGGAAGGCCGTCACGTCACGCGAAACTTGGCGCAGCCCCGTCCGGTCTGGTCTGATCTGGTCTGGTTTAATAGGATCTGGTCTGGTCTAATCTGCTCTGGTCGGGTCGGGTCGGGTCGGGTCGGGTCGGGTTGAATTAATTCGTTCGTCCAAAAAGCCCCGGCGTGACGTTACCACTGTCTAAGAGTGCGCCGCCGAAGCGTCGACCGGCCCGGCGGCACCCAGTTCAGCCACGGCACAGGGTCACGACGGGGGTCGCCGGGGCCGCCCGAGGGTACAAGACCAGGGCCACGGCACGCCGCAGGCCCCGGCCGACCACAGACCATCAGCGGGGCGGGGACGGGGGCGGGGGACGCCGTGCACGGCTACACTACAGCCGCGGCCACGGCGCGGCGGCTGACCTGGCCATCAAGCAGCGTTAAACAGTCGGTGCCCAGCTCTGCGTCCTGAAAGAGGGCAGAACGCGGCGCGCTTCATGCTCAAGTCCCGGCTGTGGTAGTGGCCGTACGGCAGCAGCAGGGGAGGGGGGGGGGGGGGCAGCGGGATCAGTGGGCGGGGCGTAGCTCGGCTGGGAGACCGCGCCTCGGAAGTAGAGCGTTAACCGTGAAAACCGGACGGCAAAAGCGGCGGCGCCAGGGAGGCGAAGAGCGAGGAAAGTGAAGCGAACGGTACCCGCGAGACGCCTGGCGGGATTGCTCCTAGCGCACTCCAACAACGTACGCTTTCAGTATGTGGCGTCGACGCTGACCACAGACGGGTCGGTCGCCAGATTAAGCCAGGGCCGCCAGCCAAACGCTGCACTCAGCAAATCGAGCGATAGCAGATAGCAGCAGAGCCTTAGTGGGTCAAAAGCGCAAAACGAGCTCAGTGAAACTCGACAAATCGCGACGGAGCATCGCCGCAAGTCACGCCGTCTCCAAATGAGCTCAAGTAGCCCACCACGGGCCCGGACCGGTAACCGGAGCGTCGTCGCAAGTCACGCCGCCTCCAAATGAGCTCAAGTAGCCCACCACGGGCTCGGACCGGTAACGAGCGGCGCGCTCCCAGCACCGAACGGCGCTCTGAATGGCACTCGGAGCAGCGTATTTTCAGCCAGTATTTCCAATGCTGATTATCGCGCTTACCCCGCGCCTGAGACCACGCGGTGGCGGAAGCTGCGGGCTCTCGCCTGACATCAGATTGCGGCCAACGCCCCTTTGCGGCACCAGGATTTCGCGGGTGTGGACAGGACGGTATTAGCCCGAAGCGTCGACACTCATCCTCCACTCCTACGTGGCGAAGACGGCGTTGATTTCCTCTCACAATGACGATACGGATGCATGCCACAACCATGACATGTACCACAATCGTGCAAAAATATTTCGACAGCCAGACGTATCAGGCGTGCGGAGCCCAAGGTGAGGCCTTCTGAATGTGATGGCCACCTGACAGGCGCAGCGCCAGCCGCAGCAGGACCTCAAGCAGACCAAGGAAAGATGTCTTCAGCAGTTAGTTATTGGTGATTACAGGCGCAACGACTGCCCAGGCCATTTCGCGACCATGCTTTAACAAAGCGCCACAGAATCTCCTGTGTATATTACAGTGCTCAGGTTTGAACGACCAAGAACAATATCAGCAGTTATCTTGACATGCAGTGTGGAAGAGACGAGTCCCTGAACAGCGTGCGTAAATGTGGTTTTTAATCCCGCCCTCCACCCGAGCTTGCCATGAGCTCGTGACGGCACGTGGCAGACTCCCCTCCCGTGTATGTGCACGATCCGCCGGGACGTCACCATGCAGGCGCGAGGCCGCGGCGGCGGCCGGCGGCGACTGACCAGGTGTTTGGTGTCGGGCTTGTAGTAGGTGTAGAACACCGACTGGCCGACGCGCACCGGAATGTCCGAGTTGGTGACGGCCTCCAGGTACCGGCACAGGCACGTCATCGCCTCGCCGTCGTCGCGACAGTCTGTGGCGGCGGCCGGCGTCATCGGGGCAGGGGCGACGGGCGACGGGGACCGCCCAACGACGCTGAGAGAACGGCTGTGGCGTTGGCGAACGGTGCGTGAGCAAGTGACGGCGCCGCATCGGCATATCAGATGACGATGAGATGATGGCGGTGATGACATGGTGGCAAGATAATAATGAGGTGACGGGATGATAAGATGATGATGAGCGTGACTGATGATGTCTGGGCAGACAAATCAAAATATTCTACGGGGGGGGGGGGGGAGATACAGCGCACGTGACCGCACCCCTCGGTGCATACATGGTACGTACAAGTCACTCTGGCACTTAGATCACTTAGAACGTGCCAGCAATGTACAGGGACGTCACCGTAAAGTTTGCAAGCATTGAATCAATGCGTACCGAAACAAGCCGGGCTTTGTAAAAAAGGAAATGGGACAAATCGACGCAACGACTACTGGGAGGGTAGCGCCAACGCGCTCAAAGATGGCTCCCCAATCTTCACGAAACCTCGACGGTCTCCTAGCCCCGGCCGGACCGGCGCCTGACGCTCACCCTCCAGGGCGGCCCGGTTGGCGTCCAGCACGGCCAGCGCCACCATGAAGTTGGTGCGAGCACCGTCGAACAGGAAGCAGTCCATCACGTTCACCGCCGACTCGAACGGCATCACGCTGGCGGGGGGAGAGCGAGGCGAAGTCAGGGGTGAGCTGGGACGCCAGGGACAGGCTGGTGACCTCAGAAGGGGGGCTGAGGGCGTCGGGGAGAGGCTGGGGGCGTAAGGGGTTGACTTGGAGCGTCAGGGAGGGGCCGGGGGGGGGGGGGGCGCTAGGGAGGGACTGGGGGTGTCAGGGAGGGGCTGGAGCGTCAGAGAGGGGCTGGGTGGAACCGGCGACAGCACTAGCCGGTCGGAACGCAAGGACAGGATTTCGGATCGATCTGAAGGCCGGCTGATGGTTATGACGCACGGACTTTCACCGGACAAAGTTCAGCGGGTGGTAGCTCGTCCCGACTACTCACCAGTCCAGGAAATTACAATACTGAGGATTAACATCACGTTATCTTTTTTTGTTCCGCAATTCCACGACCAGTCGCAGCGTCACTTTGACCATCGCATCCTCGGTTTGTCTCCACAACGCATCTGAACGCGTCTGTTGCTCAGTGCCCTGCAACGGTTCCTAGCGATACCAAGCCTCGCGAGCAGCGTCCATTATCATGTACACCAAACACAACACGAATCCAGTCCGAAAAGAACTAATCAACGCGACGGCATTGCCGGAAAATGCGTCACACCGTGGTCTGTTCGCACTCATAAAACGTGATCACGAAAGGCAGCCAGATTCTCTGTGCGGAGGCAGAAGTGAAGGCTACCCGATTGTAAGCGCCACCTGCTACGGCCATCTCCAGCCGTGTCAGCTGACTAATCCACCCCGAGAGCGCAGGGGCGTCAGCGGAGGCGGTTAACCCGCCGGCGTACCTGAGGAAGATGGTGAGGAACCAGGAGAGGGAGATCATGCCCACCACGCCCAGCTGCTCCAGCTTGGTGTAGAGGTCGGGCAACTCCACCGAGATCAGGTCCTCCAGTACCCCCTGGTCCACCAGCGCTCCCACCACCTGAGCGACAGATCAACATCACGTAAGGTCCTCCAGCATCCCCTGGTCCACCAGCGCTCCATCCACCTGAGCGACAGATCGACATCAGGTCAGGTCCTCCGGCACCCCCCGTCCACCAGCGCTCTCACAACCTGACCAGCAGTGCGACTCAGACGATCCGGGACTTGCGCTAGGTAGCTCTGGACATGCCAATAACCATGGCGTACACGGCACACCATTTGCGGTCACAGCCGGTGACTCAAAGTCAACAAGCGGACGACCAGCACACCGCACTGAGGCAGCGCAGTTAGATGGCGACGACTCCAGGCATTGGCGCTTTAGCCGCGCACCCTTCAAACTCGGCTCACAGTCGGTCACACTTGTCCGCTCGGCTGCCGCGGTGCTGGTGTGAGTGGCGGCTGTTCAGCAGTGTAATCACCGGGCCGCCCTATGTGGGGCCCGGACGCGCGAACCCCGTGACCGGTCCGAGGAACAGCCTGACCCGGTCAGTAGCACAGCATCGCGGTGGCCGCGGTGATGGGGCACCTGACGCCGGACGTCTGCAGTGTCAGACGAGGAGTGCTGGAGTAACAGAGTTGCTAGACGCCTCATGTCCACGGCCATGTTCCAGGAGGACGTGGCCACGTGCAGGCATGCTCCCTCGCACGCTCAGGCTCTCTCTAAGGTCCCCAGCTGGGTAGGAATTCCCTCCCTACACCCCACTCTGACCTGCCTGCCACGCCTTGGTACTGCAACAAGCCATGGGCAACAGCTGGGTGTTAACGTGAACACCCAGCTTTCTCCGCGTACCCTTCCCCACCCACCCACTCGCCGCCCTGTGGGCTGTGGGTGGTTCCTGGGCAGAGTCGGCCTTTCTCCGGCCACACCGATGGCGCGTAAGGCCGTGGCTGGTCTGGGGGAGTGACCCGGTCGACTCTCCCCCCCCCCTCCCACCTTTGTGTTGTAGTAGTCTGGCAGCAGCCGCTCACAGATAGCCACCATCAGCCAGAAGGCCTGCTCCTCGGAGCAGTACAGCAGCAGCACCGACGCCACGATGTTCATGGCCTGGCAGTAGCCTGCGGCCGCGGGCAGAGAGCGAGTCAGATCGCGATGAGCTCTTGGCAGCGGCTCAGAGGCGCGCAGGACGGCAAGTGGCGGACTTTCGCCCAGCTGCTGAGATATAGACAGTCGCTGATCAACCGAGCACTCGGTTCCTGTCGAGAAAGTAGCATCATCTGCTCATGCAGACCATATATGTTTCTCCTGCGCTAACGCTTCATCCCAATCGATCCTATCACAAGATCTATCCGAGCCTCCAATCTCGCACCCGCTTCAATCCCGGCAGCACTGACCGATGTTAGGGTTCCTCCCTCAGAAGGTCGCCATCACCGACTGGCATTGGCGTTTTGTAGACGGTGCCCCCCACCACTGACTGATGCTGGAATGTTATCAGCAGCCTCTTTCCTCCCTTCACCCACCACTACTGCTCGACGCTGTAGTTCCCCCGCCCCACCATCACTGCTCGACGCTGGAGTTCCCCCGCCCCGCCAATACTGTTCGACGCTGGAGTTCCCCCGCCCCACCATCACTGCTCGACGCTGGAGTTCCCCCCGCGCCGGCCCACTGCCTGACGCTGGAGTTCCCCCGCCCCGCCACCTCCCAGCTGCTGACCGATGTTGGGGTTGCGCAGAGCGTAGGCGGTGAGCACGCGACGCAGGGCGTTGATGCCGGTGGGCGACTGGAAGGCCTGGTGCTCGGGTAGGGAGCGGTGCAGGTCGCGCTCGATCTCGTCCGCCGCCGGGCACCGCACCGAGCGCGCCCGCTGCGCCAGCTGCACGTAGTAGCCCGGGTGTGTCGCCATCTCGTGGCAGGCGCCTGAAGTTCGAGTGTTGATGTTAGACGCCAGGCGGCGGCAAGAGCGGCATACGGCTGTAGGCGGGCGCAGTGGGACGGCCGGCCGATGAACGGGCACGACTGACCTTTTCTAAGGTAAAATGATCAGTGCAGATATTTAGCCGTTGACCCGTTACATTGGATTTCGTCACAATGTCACGCGGCCACGCGCTAGTCGAAAAGCGCATGCCTCCGCACGTTGCGATAAGGTAATTGAAAAACTAATCAGTAATAGCTGAGCGCCATGTCCCGCACCCAGTGCACCTCAGCTTGACAAGTCTTCACCTCACGACCGCGTGCAGAAAGTCGCAGGCTTTGAGCCAGGCCCCCGGCCGCGAGTTCCGCCCGACAGCAATCAACGTAACAGATGGCGACGCTAAATGACCTAACTTAGGTGTTGAATGTCACACCGACCCCGAGCAATGACCTTCCCAGTGGCCGCCGGCCGCTAGGGTCAGCGCCTGGCCACCCACACGTGAACAGAGCGCCCAGGGCCCTCGGCTTCCCCATCTGAGAAGAGCACCCAGAGCTTCGCTGTCCCACCTGAGAAGAGCACACAGAGCTCGGCTGTCCCACCTGAGAAGAGCATCCAGAGCTCGGCTGTCCCACCTGAGAAGAGCACACAGAGCTCGGCTGTCCCACCTGAGAAGAGCATCCAGAGCTCGGCCCGCAGCGTCGAGGGGATGCCCTTGAGCACCAGCTGACTGGTGGCCGAGGTGCGGTACATGGTCATGCCGCGGCCGTACTCGTCGAAGAGGTGCTCCCACTGCTCCTGCAGCCAGGGAGGGGGGGGGGGGAGGGGCGTCACCGCCGGGCCCGAGGCGGCGGGCCCTCTGGCACAGTCATAGCGAGAGCAAGGCCAGACCCGAGCGCTAGAGCCTGTAGACGCGCACACATGCTTAACAGGGCGAGACAGACGTGGGCTGGGCAACGCATAAGAGGGTGAGTGAAAGATACGTCAGTACAAACGGCCAGATGAAGACGGTGCGTCGACATTCGACGGCAAGGCTACGGGAACGGGAGCGGAAACCGGGACAAGGACGAGGGCGAGTAGAATGGCGACTGCGACTGCGACGGGCACGGACACGGGCACGGGCACGGGCGCGGGCACGGGCACGGGCACGGGCACGGGCACGGGTACGGGCACAGGCACAGGCACAGGCACAGGCACAGGCACAGGCACAGGCACAGGCACAGGCACAGGCACAGGCACGGACACGGACACGGACACGGACACGGACACGGACACGGACACGGACACGGACACGGACACGGACACGGACACGGGCACAGGGAGCGGTGACAGCTCACCTCCTTCTTCAGCTGCCGGCCGGTGGTCTCCGGCGAGGCGGGGCTGGGGAACTGGTACATCAGCGGCGGCTGCAGCTCCCACGGCTCCTGGGCGCCCCCTGTCGGCAGCGACGCCTCACGCTCAGCGGCGGACCCCAACGGCAGAGGCGCTCGCATGCGCCGAGCGGCGCACTCCGATGCGCCGCACGCACACCAAGACACGTCGCACAGCCAGCTTAGCAGGCACTCCATCGACGGCCAATACCCGTTCCACTGTGCGATGCCAAGAGCCCGCAATGATATATTTGGCAAAAAATCCTGCATATATGCGCATAACACCACATTTCAGCATATTTCATGAGAGAGCCGACACACTGGCCGGCCGCCAAGCCAGCCGTCAGCCCGCGATAAGAACTCCACAGCGCGTGCGTGACCGTGGCGGGTCAAGTTTTACCTTGTGACTTGCCCTGCTGATCCGAGTCGACAACAATGTAACCCGAACTGTTGGACGACACGCTCTGGATGCTGACTCGGTCAGCGCTCGGTCTGTCAACACAGAGCGTTGCCATGGTGACCGCTGAGCGACGCTACACGTCGGAGACCGGCGCATGGTATCGGCGCCACAGTCAATGGACGCTGACAGGAGGCGGCAGCCATGAGCACCAATAAACGGCGACGTGACAGCCGGCGCTCAGCACGCGCAGGCGAGCGTGATCATTCGCCGAACACAACCAGGACGCGGGATGGCGCCCGCCCGAGCGTGCGTTACAGCCCACAGGACATAGCGCAAAGCCGCCAAAAGACCACGTCCTCAATCGAGTGCGCCAGCACATCGCCGTCAAGCTGGATGCAGCCGCACGTCAACCAAACAACCAGCCGACGCGCACCTACCAGCACGGCCTCGCCGGCCGCCGACGGCGACAGCAACGCCGCCAACCACGCCAGCAGCGCGAGCGTCCTCCCCAACAGGATCGCGGACGGGGCGTGTGGCACGCTCGTGCCGGCCGCCGGCGCGCGCCGGCAGACCTCCCCGCGTGCCCCGCCTCTCGGCCGCCTCTCCCCCCCCCCCCCCCCCACACACACACTCACGCCGCCGCGCAGGTGGTGAGCCGGGCCAGGAACTCGGCGATCCGCTCGAGCACGAAGTCGCGGTCGGCCACCTGGGCGAACAGGAAGCTCTGGCGGTGCTTCATCGAGACGCAGATGGCCGACGACAGGTCCTGCGTGCAGCCCGGCGAGTCGGCCCGCTCCACCAGCGAGACGTCGCGCAGGGGCACGATCAGCGACACCAGGCCCTTCACCTGGCGACGGGCAGATCGGGGGCCAGTCAGGGGCAGGCGGGGAGGAGGGGCGGGTGGTCAGATGTTAGGGACACCATCAGCGACACCAGGCCCTTCACCTGGCGACGGACAGATCAGGGGCCCGTCAGGGGCGGGCAGGGAGGAGGGTCGGGGTGGCCAGATGTTAGGGGCACGATCAGCGACACCAGGCCCCTCACCTGGCGACGGACAGATCAGGGGCCCGTCAGGGGCGGGCATGGAGGAGGGTAGGGGTGGCCAGATGTCAGGGGCGAACGGGGAGGGGGGGTAGGGGCGGTCAGATGTCAGGGCCGGTCAGGGATTCCTCGAGGGTGGGCAGAGGTCGTTCAGAGATTCACCAGGGGCCGGGCCATGAGAAGATTTGGGGGTCTGGTTAGAGCGAGGGCCTGGTTAGAGGCTTCTCAGGGTCCGGGCGGGGTCGAGAACCATCAGCAGTGCCAGTCCCGTGCTTCCCGGCGACGGCGCGCGCACCACCACAGAACGACCGGGGCCAGAGAGCTGTCCGTGCCAGGAAGCGCATACGACAAGTTTGACGACGGACACCGGACGCTACATCGAAGCCGCGGTGTCTCCCAAACAACAGGTGCGGTATCGGAAAAGTCGGCTTTGTCTCCGCCCCGACGACACGTGCCGGCACCACCAGCATCGTGACCACCTAATGCCACCCACCACCGAGCGTGGGCCCCCACAAACACCCCGTCCATAGCAATCACGCATCCGGCCCCCGCCACTCGAACAGCGCAACAAGCCAACCAGGTGGGCTGTACAACCTTTGGAAACGCATCAACAAGAGCGGGCATCGATGCCCGTTGATTGGTCGGCGCGTGTTTCTTTCCAGGGATGACAACACAATACACACGTGTCTCAAAAACGATGTAACGGACGCCGACGTGTTCACAGCGCAATCACACGTGCGTGCACACACCTACCCAATCACGCCCTCGCACGCAAGAGCGACTGCGCACGTATGTCTGCCACACACACGCATGAGCAGGCACACAGCCCCCAGCCGTACTCCCGTCTACACGATTACGCTACCCGAGCTCACCCATAGCCGCACGCACGCCTGAGTCTGCACGCTGGTGCTCAGAACGCTGGACCCAGGCGGGAACACGGTGCCAGCAGCGCAGTCTGCACGCTGGGGTGTCCGAACCGAGCCCCATTCCATCAGCCAGAGCGGCGAGCAAGTCGTCCGTGCCGCCGTGTGAGCCCTGAGCCAGCGGCGCTGGTCAGCAGCGACGTTACCCTCCGAGCAGCAGCTCCCGCCAGTCAGCGCCAGCGCCGGAAGCCCTGAGCCAGCGGCGCTGGTCAGCAGCGACGTTACCCTCCGAGCAGCAGCTCCCGCCAGTCAGCGCCAGCGCCGGAAGCCCTGAGCCAGCGACGCTGGTCAGCAAGCGACGTTACCCTCCGAGCAGCAGCTCCCGCCAGTCAGCGCCCAGCGGCCGGAAGCCCTGAGCCGGCGGCGCTGGTCAGCAGCGGCGTTACCCTCCGAGCAGCAGCTCCCGCCCAGTCAGCGCCAGCGCCGGAAGCCCTGAGCCAGCGACGCTGGTCAGCAGCGGCGTTACCCTCCGAGCAGCAGCTCCCGCCAGTCAGCGCCAGCGCCGGAAAGCCCTGAGCCAGCGACGCTGGTCAGCAGCGGCGTTACCCTCCGAGCAGCAGCTCCCGCCAGTCAGCGCCAGCGCCGGAAGCCCTGAGCCAGCGACGCTGGTCAGCAGCGACGTTACCCCCCGAGCAGCAGCTCCCGCCAGTCAGCGCCAGCGCCGGAAGCCCTGAGCCAGCGACGCTGGTCAGCAGCGACGTTACCCTCCGAGTAGCAGCTCCCGCCAGTCAGCGCCAGCGCCGGAAGCCCTGAGCCAGCGACGCTGGTCAGCAGCGGCGTTACCCTCCGAGCAGCAGCTCCCGCCAGTCAGCGCCAGCGCCGGAAGCCCTGAGCCAGCGACGCTGGTCAGCAGCGGCGTTACCCTCCGAGCAGCAGCTCCCGCCAGTCAGCGCCAGCGCCGGAAGCCCTGAGCCAGCGACGCTGGTCAGCAGCGGCGTTACCCTCCGAGCAGCAGCTCCCGCCAGTCAGCGCCAGCGCCGGAAGCCCTGAGCCAGCGACGCTGGTCAGCAGCGGCGTTACCCTCCGAGCAGCAGCTCCCGCCAGTCAGCGCCAGCGCCGGAAGCCCTGAGCCAGCGACGCTGGTCAGCACGGCGTTACCCTCCGAGCAGCAGCTCCCGCCAGTCAGCGCCAGCGCCGGAAGCCCTGAGCCAGCGACGCTGGTCAGCAGCGACGTTACCCTCCGAGCAGCAGCTCCCGCCAGTCAGCGCCAGCGCCGGAAGCCCTGAGCCAGCGACGCTGGTCAGCAGCGACGTTACCCTCCGAGTAGCAGCTCCCGCCAGTCAGCGCCAGCGCCGGAAGCCCTGAGCCAGCGACGCTGGTCAGCAGCGACGTTACCCTCCGAGCAGCAGCTCCCGCCAGTCAGCGCCAGCGCCGGAAGCCCTGAGCCAGCGACGCTGGTCAGCAGCGACGTTACCCTCCGAGCAGCAGCTCCCGCCAGTCAGCACCAGCGCTGGGAGCCCTGAGCCAGCGACGCTGGTCAGCAGCGGCGTTACCCTCCGAGCAGCAGCTCCCGCCAGTCAGCGCCAGCGCCGGGCCAGCGGCGCGGGCGGAAGGGGGCAAAGGACTCTGAGCAGCGGCCGGTTCCGCTCTCCCTCACGCTCACGGCGTGTGCCCGCCCAGGGAACAGGCTGGAGACAGGGTACAGACGCACGCTAGTTTGAGTGACGAGCAGTTCGCCATGCGGTGAACTGCGGGGCGTTACGACTCCGGCGCGGGTGGGGCCACTCGGCAGACGGCTGACAGGACCCCTGCGGCGAACTGCGGGGTGTCACGACTCCGGCGCGGGCGGGGCCACTCGACAGACGGCTGACAGGACCCCTGCGGCGAACTGCGGGGTGTCCCGACTCATGCGCGGGCGGGGCCACTCGACAGACGGCTGACCAGACCCCTGCGGCGAACTGCGGGGTGTCACGACTCCGGCGCGGGCGGGGCCACTCGGCAGACGGCTGACGGGGTGCTGGCAAAGCCGGCGTTACAACCCTCTCCTGCCAGTGTCAGCTGAGCGCGGCGCGGCTTATCCGACGCCAATGCGGAGTCGAGAATCGAGAATGCGGCAACGACGTAAGACGTTCTCCCTTCCACTTCGCGAAGCAATACCTCCAAAGTCCAATCAACCAATCTCGTTCCATAAATGTGTTCGTGTGTACCGTCGCCCGCCTGCCAGCAGCAGAGTTTCGATGCCGGCTGCGGCGCCAGACTTCCGCACGTGGCTCATACACGTGAACATTCTCAAACTTCGCCCCGCGTCACCACCAGACAGCACGTAACCCCCGTAACCGACCCGCGAGACCGCCGGCCCAGCTTGCCAGCGGGGGCGGCACAGCCCGCATCACGGGACGTGCCAGCTCGACAACTTCTTCGGGTGAAACTTTAATGGCGCGAGCGACATCTCAAGTTCGCGTTCACGAAAATGCTTGACTGGAAATTGCGTAAGACTTAATGTTGCGCAATATGCCACGCTACCGCAGCACGCCACTGGTGTTGTTTCTCGGTTTTATTCTGCTGTCTCAGCGGTGGGTGACGGGGTTATTAGTTGACGGAGGCATGCGGTTCCAGTGGGAAGGTTGGGTGAGTACTACTTCAAACCAAACATTGCTCCCGTCAAATACGCTAATGAAACCGTCTTACGCGGGCGCAAGCCGCCAAGTTAAAACCCTCGCTCTGTTCCTGTCCTGTCGAGCTACGTCACAATCATGCCGCACTTACCAAGAGGCCCCTCCATTCGCAGTCGTGCCAAACAGATCACCCCTACAGCTATCCAAAACGTCCCACGCTGCCGGCACCGCATGCGTCTGTCTCGTCGGCGTGCCCCTGCCCGGGCGGCAGGCATGCTGTTGTCTGTCTCGGCGGCCGGCACCTACCCGCGCCCTGGTCGGGGTCTCGTCGGTCAGCCAGTGTCCGGGTACCCCACGCCGGGCGGGGCGGCGCGACCCAGTCGGGGCCGGCGCCGGCAGCGCGTGCTAGAACACAGCCCGGGTCAGCAGCCCAGCACCGTGACAGGGTCACTGCCAGCTCGAGGTACCGGTCTCACTCCTAGCCCGAGCCCCTTCGCTCCCAGCCTGAGCTCTCCCCACTCCCAGTCCGAGCCCTCCCCGCTCCCAGCCCGAGCTCTCATCACTCCCAGTCCGAGCTCTCCCCACTCCCAGTCCGAGTTCTCACCACTCCCAGCCCGAGCTCTCCTCACTCCCAGCCCGAGTTCTCCCCACACCCAGCCCGAGCTCTCCCCACTCCCAGCCCGAGTTCTCCCCACTCCCAGCCCGAGCTCTCCCCACACCCAGCCCCAGCTCCCCTCATTCCCAGCCCGAGTTCTCCCCACACCCGGCCGAGGCTGCCCGGTGTGGGACCCCACCAGGACACGCCTGGGACGAAGCGGTCCACTTCACCTCTCCCGCCGGCCGGCGGCGATCGGTGCCGGCATCGTGGGCGCCGCGGTCGTCTCGCCTCGCGCCGCCGCGCCGGCCGCCGACACCGGCCGGCCGCGAGCAAAGTTCAGCGACACGCGCAGGCGCCACGACGGTCAGCACCGCTCCCGCCCGCTCGTCCGCGCGCTCCGCGTACACAGCTGCGGGAGGGGCGCCCGAAACAGAGCGCCCACTCCAATCAGCGCGCCGTCAACACCGCCGGTCGGCGTGACGCATCAGAGCGCCCTTCCCTGTCGGCTCTCCTGACTGATGGCGGCAAAGGAAGACGGCTCGCTCCGCCCGCCGCATGCAGATGGCGGTCACGAACGAGGCAGCCGTGGAGCGTCTGAGCTCCGGTCGCATTGGAGCGGCAACAGTTCGCCGCTGAACGGTGCGCTGCTGGCCGGTCCTTTCCACGCACCGCCACGGCCTGGCGGCCCCTCCTCTCCTTCTCTCCCTCCCCTCCCTCTCCTTCTCCCTCTCCCTCTCACTCCCCCTCTCCCTCTCCCTCTCCCTCTCCTCTTCCTCTTCCTCTTCCCTCTCCCTCTCCCTCTCCCTCTCCTCTCCTCTCCCTCTCCCTCTCCCTCTCCCTCTCCCTCTCCCTCCCAAACTGAGAGACTAAGCCCGAGACGCTGTTAGCCGGGCTCCACGCCCCGCCCTCCGCTCGTCCTCCATCTCTCCCAACTGACCCGGCTCTCGAAGCAGACGAAGTTCATGCTGATGTAGAGCGTGCCCCAGACGTGCTGCTTGTTGTACGGCGTCCAGAGCGTGCAGTCGGCGCGACCGTCCAGCTTCTCGGCGCAGGGCAGCCGGAAGTTGCTGCGATACGCCTCGCTGTGCGCGCGTGCGTCCAGGTCGCGCTTCAGTCCGGGCGTCTTCCGCGACACGTTGCGGCTGCGGAACAGCGCCGAGGTCAGACGAATGCCGCAACGGGTGGTCAAGCCCGCGAGAGCACCTCACAACGCACGCTGCGGTGCGCGGGCTTCGGACCACACAGCGCCCGCAATAAGGACATCTTTCCGCGTATACCATGGCCCAAGCAACGCCTAGGCTGAGCTACGTTCTTAGCTGGTGCCGCTCTGTCAGCCCCCCCCCCCCCCCCGCGGTGAGAGAGTCGCACCCGAGACCTCCGTGTTCAGCGTCTGGCACAGCAGGCGGTCCGACAGATTCGCCGGCGGCAGCGCAGGGCATGGTCAGGTTTACTAGGCTTCGGGGCGCCGCGTTCCGCATATAGACGGTGGAGCGTCACGTATGCTGCACGGAACACGTGAATCTAGACAAGCGATGGAACCATTTGCTATCACAACATCCGGATTGGTCTAGGGCGCTAGTCTGCAGCCAATCTAGAGCGCTATTCATGTTTCCATACGGATCGCAGCATCCTTTCAAAAGCTACATACGGCGAGCGCGCAGGAGTCCAACTCAAAAGACGGAGCGAACGCATTCTTTCGCGGCTGGCACCACTCCCCGGGCCCGTTCGGCGACCAAGCATGGATCCTTTGACGCGTCGGAGCCCACGTTTGCCAGAAAACGGCACCGAGCTCCGACGACCAATAAACAATTCGCGCCAAAGGATCCATGCTTGGATCCTTTGGCGCGGCCGAGCACTTGGCAGTACTCGGCCCCGACGTGCTCCTATTGGTAACGACGGAACAACGGGCTTTTCAGCCAGCACGCCACGTTCCCGCCAGCGACGCATCAGCAACCCCTCACCTCCCCCCCCCCCCCCCCCGGCCGCCCACCCTCAGTGCTCGGAGCCCGGTCGGCTCCCATCCTGGGCCGCCTGCAATAACAGCGCGGAGTTGTGAACAGCTCAGGGCTGTCGCGGCGGCCGGTCGGAGCTCCAGATGACGCGGTCGGCCGGAACACGCGCCCACCGCGCGGCTCTCGTTTCGTCGCGCGCCTCGACTTATACTTAACTTGCCCACGGCGCTCGCGCTGCAAAACCGGCGGCGTTCAACTGAACAGGGGCGGAGACGATCATTACGGCGCGCCGATGGTAAAGGCCCATGGGAGCACAACTTTAGCAACATCCGCCGACGCTTCGGGAAAACAGAGCACGAACAGCTGCAGACCGCCCCCGCCATCGCGCTAGTTCCGCGTCCTCGCAGCTCCGGGGGCGTCAAACGCCCGGCTTCAGTTACATCCACGTGGCAGCTGGTCCGCCGCCCGGCGATGGATGACTGGGAAAGCCCGACAAGGGCACCGAAGCGCCACCGGCGCCGCCACACCCACACCACCCGGACCCGGCGGAGCTGGCCCAGGCGCGCAGAGCCGCGCGCAGAGCTCGGCGCTGAACCGCGCCCACTGAGCGGCCTTCAGCGGTCACTGCCCACTGCACCGCCCACATCACGCAGTGGGGACCGCTCGGTATACTGGCCCGTCCGCGCCAGCGACCGCGCCTGATCCTCGCGAGCGGCGCCGCCGGCGTCACCTGATCTTGTTGAGCAGCTCGGGGTCCTCGCTGAAGCCCTCCTCGCGCATCAGCTGGCGCATGGCGATGTTGGCCAGCTGCTCGATTAGGTCGTACGTCTCCCGCTTACGCAGGAACATGGAGAAGAAGTACTGCGGAGCGCGGTGGACCGTCACACAACGCCGCAGACGTCACTCGCTCGCCGCGTGATACAACAGCGCAACAGCCACGCTCGCCGCCGCCGGCCAGCGCTGGCGTCAGGCATACAAATACCAGTGATTGGCCGATGTTTTAAACGGCACGGCACGAAGTTTGACCGATTGCGCGAAATTCAACGTTGGCGTTCATCGAACAAGCGTGGCAAACGGCGGCATCCAGTCAAAAACAAAAACACAAAAACGTCAAAGATTCACGGCAAGTGAGGGCGTAATCGCCACTGGCAGCATGGGCACACAGCACCCACCGCGCACCGTACTGCTCTTGCCCCTACCTCTCTCCCTTTCCTCTACCCCTACCATTACCCCTTCCCTTACCCCCACCCCTACCCCTACCCCTACCCCTACCCCTACCCCTATCCCTATCCTATCCCTATCCCTATCTCTATCTCTATCCCTACCTCTACCCCTTCCCCTTACCCCACCCATCCCTATCCCTATCCCTATCCCTATCCCTATCCCTATCCCTACCCCTACCCCCACCCCTACCCTTACCCCTACCCCCTCTCCTTCCTCCACCCTCACCCCCACCGAGCCGCGCGCTGACTCACGCTCTTCTGTCGCGTCGAGATCTTGATGCTGTCGGGGAAGATGAGCGAGTTGGACTTGTCCAGGCTGACAATGTCCGTCCAGCGGAGCCGCACCTTAACCTCGCGGCCCAGGATGAACGAGTAGAAGGAGAGGTGCGAGATGCTCAGGTACATCCAGCCCTGGCGCGGCACGCCCTTCCAGTAGCTGCAGCCGCGGCGGGAGAGAGAGCCGGTCAGCGCGGGTCGGTCACGGTCCAGGCGCGGTCCAGCTCAATTGATCTATGCTCGTCAGAATTCCGTCATGACGGACTGAGACGCTGGACGACGCCATCCACTGAGAAGGCGGCTATGAAGGCGGCATCGGTAGTGGTAAAAGGTGTAGTCACTGTATGGTCCATTACATACCAAACTGCATGCGTCCGCTTCAATTTGCCCCGATGTTTTTGTCCGCCCCTACATTACGAAACAAAACTTGTGGAAATTCGTGTGCATATATATATATATATATATATATATATGTATATATATACGGTTGTATATGTTTGACATGTTCTATATGGGCGTGTCAACTGCCTTGGTACTTGCCACGAAAATGAGTGATGCAATTGAGGGCAAAGGACAAAAACGTCAAAAGCTTCACATCCGAATGATCAACAGACACGAACGCATGCCTGTCATCTGAGTAGAAAGCTGGCTTCAAACGGTCCACATCATTTGGCTGAATTTTCGCTGCCCTTCCGTACGCCGGCGGCTGCTGCCGCAGCGAGCCTAACCACCGATAAAAGGCGGAACCTCGCTCCGTTCCGAGTTCGTCGCGCCAGTTCCCGCTCCTCCAGGGACACACCCTCAACCCAGCGCGTCGTCGCTCGTCGCAGACGCGGCGGCGGCGGGCGGAAGCGGCGCCGTGGGGGCCGTACCTGCACGAGTAATGGTTTGACCAGCTTCTCCTCGGCCGGCGCGTTGAACAGGCGCCGGAACTTCTCGGTCGTCGACTTGAACGAGTCCGACTCCGAGTCTGAGAGCAGGCGCCGCTTCAGACACGCGAAGGTGCGCTCCAACAGGCGGCAACACATGCTTGGGACCGGACCCGGGCACCGAGCGTGGCACAGCAGAACGCAACGGAACGCAGCGGAACGCAGCGAAATGCGGCGGAACGCAGTGGAACGCAACGGCACGAAGCGGCACGCAGCGGAACGTAGCAAAAGGCAGCAGAACGCAACGGAACGCAGCGGAACGCAGCGGAACGCAGTGGAACGCAGCGGAACGCAGCGGAACACCGTCTTCAGCGCCCTCCTTTGCACTGCGAATCCTCCTCGGCTCTCACGCATTGGGGGCGAGGCCGTGTCCAGCAGATACGACAACGGTCCGGATAGTCGGGCCGCCACCTTATCGTCCCTTGACTTTCGGCACCGCCCGGGTGAGATGGCCGGGCGCCGGCCGGGTGGCCCGGAGTGGGTCGGAGTGGGCCAGGCGGCCCGGAGTGGCCCGAGTGGGCTGGAGTGGGCTGGAGTGGGCCGGAGTGGGCCGGAGTGGGCCGGAGTGGGCCGGAATGGGCCGGAATGGGCCGGAGTGGGCCGGAATGGCCCGGAGTGGGCCGGGCGGCCCGGAATGGTCGCTCGCGAGAAGACGCCGCGTTATCTCACATTACGTCAGCGGGGTGGTGACACGCCACGCTCGCCGTCACGAATGACACAGCTGTTTTGCCGGAAGTCGGTTGTTTCCGCGAAGTGCATCAACAACTACAGCACACAACCTGCTACGCCCTCAAAACTTCGAAAATCGGCGAATTACCTGAGTATGGGTAGCAGCGGTGGCAGAAGACAAAGGAAAGGCAGCACAATGATCTCCAATAAAGCTATCCACACCCATCCAGGGACCGGAGTGGCAGCGGGGGAGGGGGCAGTGGGTTCAGTTCCCCGGCAGTCAGGGGGCAAGAGTATGTTTTTGTCCCTTAAATATTTGGGAGACCCTTATTCCAAAACAAAAGCATTTGTGGTTGCGCGCAAATTACCAAAATTTATGTTATGGAGGCCTTCATACTGGGCCAGAGCGCGATAAATGGGGATCAGAACACCATTTCCTGTTTCAAGAAGCTCATTTCCTGGTCTATGAGACTACGATCATGACTATTGTAGCACATGTTCTAGATCAGGAGATCCAGTATTGTGTTAAGGATGCCCATATGCTGGTTCGATAGGTTACGACCGTTTCAAGAGTTGCGAACTAGGAGGCCCCTGTTCCAGACTGGAAGGCACCCTCATATTCAGCGGGCCCTATTTCTGGAACGGGAGGTTCTTTCAATGCAATACATGACCACGGTTTCGGATCAGGATGTCCCGTTTTGGGATAACCAGGCCGCTTGCTAGACTTTGAGGCTCCTTTTGTGAATCGGAAGGATGATGTCCTGTTTAATTTTACACGTGAGTTTACTTCGATCCGCTGCATGTCGCAATTTCATAAGGGCACGTGCTCCTCCCCCTGAATAATACCATACCGCCCAGGAGCCCCTCACCCCCCCCCCCCCTTGTGAGGAGGTCTCATTTTGTTTCCGTAAAACCTTTCCTCTAACTGAAAATCCGTGACACCGCCCCTGTACCCGCACATATCCGGTGCACAGGACAGCACTTTACATTCCAAAGGTCGGGCGCCCGGCCTGCCTGGCGAGCCACCTGTGGCCGGCCGACCCGCCGCGCGTGGGAGCCGTGCGGCGCAGTCTACCGAGCGCGGTCCGACCGGGCGCCAGCAGCGGCGAGCCAGCGCCAAACCGCGCGCCCCAGCCTTTCCCACAGCGGCACTGTTGGTGACGGCGGCCATGGACTCCGCCAATGAAGGCTTTGTCAAGAGGCGCAGGCGCGCCAGCTAGGACGCGGCGAGAAAGGGAGGACGCGGCTCGCCTCACGTGCTCAGCGAAATTGGACGCTCACGGAGTGTGCCGCGTCGCACGCGCGCCGTGTGGGTGTTCACTTGTGCAGCAGTTATGAAGTTGAGCGAGTGCAGGCAATGCACCGCCCATCCCCGTGAGTCACGTAGCAGTGCGGCGGTTATTCGCTGCCGCGGCGATGTGCGTCACAGGCACGTCTCCTGACCTGACCTAATTCCCCTGCAGCGGGTATCCATGTTGTGGTCACGGGTTCAGTGCTACTGTGGCCTAAGACTGACGGACCCACCTCACATGCGTACGAGCAGAGCGACGTTTCCTTTTCACTTGGTTCTAACTCCCCCCTCCCCCAAGTTTGAGAGGAAAGTGTGTCAAAGTCGAGCAGAAGTTTGATTTTCTGTAAATTTCTAGGGTAGTTTTAGTCATTTTCCTTGCTCAGTCCCATCCCCACCATTCCAATTCGTTTTGCGAAACTACATCCTTGCTTACGCGTTAGGCACAATGTTTTCAACAAGGCCGAGACCTTGTTGAAAACATTATGCCTAACGCGCAGCCTCAAACCAATCCCGAGCTATTCTGCTGATCACAACCGACCTTCAGTATGCCAGGATACGCTGGTTGTGCGACATCAAGCAAGCAATCAATGACATAACTGCTCCTAACAGCCTACATTTGCTTCAACCCCAGTCATCCCCGAGGACCACGTCCGCGCACCAACCTGCCGTTCAGCAGCCCCCCACCCTATCCCAACTTAACGAACCTCACCTTCGACCGGCACAGAGCGCTGGGCCACCAGACTCTCGATCTTGCACTTGACGAACTCCATAACGTCATCGTCCGAGTCGAAGGCGGGCACGATCGGCAGCAGGGTCGACTCCAGCCACGCCCAGTCGGCGAATATCTCGGATGACGTCACCGACACGGACACCACTGGCGGCGCGGCACGGCGCGGGTCAGGGCACCGGCGCGGTGGCGCGGACACCGACGCCGGCGAGGACGCGGGGCGGGGTCACGGCGCATGCGCACTCTCACCCAGACACCGTTGCCGTGTGCACCGGAGGGGCGTCGGCGGACACACGAGGCAAGGGTTGGAGAATCTATCCATGACAGCGTCACGACACCGACACCATAGCAGCGGCACACACGGGTTTTCAGGGTGCAGACAATGATTCAGGGTCACAGATTGAGAAGCGTACAACAGTGTGAGAAATGCTGTTTGTTCTCTGATTGAGGAAAACATTCTTGTATTTTTTAGCTAAAATTATTTCAGGCAGGTTGTAAGAAACATTATGTGCAAGAATGCAGCGATATATGGTGCGAGATTACTGAACGCGCTTCAGTTACAAAACTTCCTTCATTTGCACCTGGTATCAAGCTTGTTATAATTTTGGCTGAGACGCTGGGCAAACAGAATCCATAATGTTCGTATGGAGTCGATCTTCTGAGTTCTCACATAAGATCCCTGACCGCAAAATTTCACGTTAGACTTTCTACCATCACATCCTAGTTTTACCACCTTGAACTGCGATGTCGCCCAGTTTGACTAAGTGAAACTGCCGCAATCTCATTAAGTGACAGTGACAAGATTAGGATGGATTGCACTTACGTTGCATTAGGAAAAGCATGTTAGTAATTTGATGTTTTAATTGCCTTTGTAGCGCTTGATCCTATGGCTTTCCAGATGTAAGCCAAAGAATCATACCAACAAAAAAGTTTAAAGGTCAGGTCAAAGAGACCAACATGTCAACAACTTTGACCACACATACATTGTATAGTTCATTTGCCACTGTTCAAACTTGTTATAATAATAGAATATGTTAACATCTACAGTTGGTTTATTTCAGATTTTCAGGAAATGCGAGGTTAGTAACCCGAAGCCAGGTAAATTTTCACTATGTTTCGTATATGATGTTCATGTAAATTTATTCATGAAAAACAAAGGGAAATTTTCACTGATTCTTGTGTGGTTTGGTGTTTGCATGTGAAGAAAAGGGTATAACTTACATGTACAACAATCATATGGTCACAGAGAACATTGCCTTGGCCCCGGTCCTGTCCTATCTCAATGGGCACCTTCTGCACAACACAGGCTGAGCTCAAAATAGGCAGCTTTATTGAGCAATTTTGGATGCAGGATTTGAATACTCCAATGAAAACATACTGGGATATCACTCTAATGTATGATGAGGTCACAATAGGCCACGTGAGAGCATGCAAGGTCATATGACGTCACCCAAGGCCAATGGCCTACGTTGTCAGTAGCAGAGAGGCTAGATTAACGAGCGCGGTGCGTGTAACCACCTCCCTACCTGTTTGTGAAGATAATGTCATCCAGCTTCATGTACAAACTAAACTGTTCTCAGTTTGCTACAAATGCATTGCCAAACGTCGAAGGAATTCAGCATAATGCGGACAACAACTACGCGTTTCGGAGTACCTTTAGATGTACAATACTTTTTTCTGACCACAGAAAAGCATTGTACTGGTCACACAGCCGGTTAGCGATCTGATTTTCTTTCACATGGATGGTTTATGAATTTGACCTAAGTCGACGTCATTTGGGATGGCACGGCGGGAAAAGAGCAGGGATCATTCGGCCTGAGGTGGTGTACAATCACGCGAGCTACACGCACGTGACGGGCGGAGATCCATGCCCAGGGGCGAGGCACGGAGAGCAAAGGCAAGCGTCGAACTTGTCCGGAACGGGTGGCGTATCAGCATCGCTGTGCGGGCTTTGATGCCAGAGTAGCACGGTACAGCAAGCCCAAGCACGCATTGCGCAAATGACGGAGTTATCGTTATCATTGGTTAGCCGTGATAAGAAAAACCAATCTGCAGAATGACCATGACGCTGGAAAGCGCATACGGGATGTCTATAGCACGGCGTCACGACGCTGCTGGCGTTCCCACCAGCAGTGTGACGCTGGCGAGTCCTGGCAGGCGTCCTGTATCGTCGCGACCGCCTGCAGCACTACGACTGAGCACCGCAAGACCGATAAACGCCTTCTGCGGCAGCGGAGACAAGGCCCCAGCTGCTGGTGCGGTGTCAGGATGAGATAGTGGCCTTGGATGAAACAGCCTAAAACAGACAAAGTCCAGAGAGGCGAGGACTGATAACGGGCGCTGGTTCGCGAGGGCGGATGTCCGCCACGTCTCGGATGAGAGCCGGCGGCATTTGAATTGTGTGTATGGCAAGCAGCGATACCTCAGTTACCAAAGGCCGCCGTGACAACAGGATTACGACCGCGGGGAGGTGTTAGATCGGAAAATGTGCAATATATTCTCGTTCCTAAGACACACCAGAAGCATGCATCAACTGCCAGACGGGTGGAGTAGCCCTGCAGGGGAACACGATCCGGCTATTGGCGCCTGAGCCGGCAGCAGCATCCGTTCGTTTCGGCAACTTGCCGTTCCGCAAGCCATTCCAGGTCTACCGGATCATGCGACGAGCCGCGTCACCAGGTCGATTTCAGTGTAGCCATGCATGGACACCGCAGCGATCGGTGGGAAAAAACTACTCAAGTTTGCACAACTTCGACGACGCGCCAAAAAGGCGTCGCTTCACCGACAAAACCAGGACTCTGCGTTTGCCTGATCGCAACTGCACCGTTCGCGCGCACCCTAAACGTATAACGTCAAACGCAAAACCCAACACGGGACTTGTGCGCACACTGCTGACTCATTAGCAGCCAGCAGCAGCCAACCGTCTGTACGGTGGACAGGACGCCCATCCTGCATGACGCCAACTGTCGCTGTCTGAGCTCAGCCGGCTTCCTCTACAGAATGCAGCACGTCCATGATGTAAGCTAACTCAATGACTCGTCTGTGGTCTTATCCATCCGTGATGTAGCACATGTGCGAGCTGTTTGGATCTGCGCTATGGTGGTGCCTGCTAGTACATCGGAAATGATTTTTGTTATTTATTTATTCCGAATGGTTTGCCTTGGTGAATGGGTTCATAGCACCTGCTAAGCATAGCTTGTTGCATGGACCCTGAGCCCACCACCCAAGTCGTTTCGCTTAGTTCAAAGGATAACTTTGCCTCCGCCCTTGCGCCAGACACGAGTGCGGGGGGTTTTACGTGCCGCACAATGCTGCGACACGGCCGCCACGGGCCCCGGGTTGACCCTCGTTGGCCAGTTGCCAGCTGACCTTTCCATTTCAGTCGGGCCAAACAACGCGCCCGCTCTGGGACTCGTACCCAATGCCGCCGGATTACGAGTCGAGCATCTTTCCTCTAGACCACGGAGGCGGCAAAGAATTGACATCACATCACACACATTGTTTTAATGCCCATTCTCTGGGAGTGACACCAGCTCTACGTTAGGTCCGAACTCATCCCTTTTGTGTATTTGTACGCAGAGCAGCTCAAAAGCACACAAACTGGTTGCACATGATACACTTACATCCATCGACAGCCCAATTTTTCATCACATACAACAGAATCAGAATTGCGTTTCCTCAGCATTCGAGTAATTGCGAATCGCACAGGCTTCCTCCTGGCAATCAGGACGTCAAAAGAATCTGCATAGTATCGACCATCGGTGTGTTCTGTCTTTTTCCGGAAAGTCCGTCACCAGGCCGTCTTTACCATGAGGCTAAATATGCCGGTACCTTTACACGCGCAGCACAAGCTGGGACAACCGGGGGTGGGCGACACGACCGTGCGCCACAGAATCGGCATCCAAACCCACCCCGTACCACCGATCATCTGCACGACGGGGCAAGGCCAGCCGCGTCTTATCTCCCCCCCCCCCCTTCCCCATCACACAGCCCCCGTCACCCGGTCGGGTGCCCGCCTCGGACGGGCCCGGCGGCGGGGGTCAGCGCCTCAGACGGGCCTGGCGGCCGGGGTCGGCCGCGACGCTCGCGCCCAGCTGCTCCGGGCGAAGGGGCAACAGCGCCGCGGTGCACGCCAGACCGGCGCGCTCGTGATGTCAGCAAAAACCAGCGCGCTTCTGGCGATAACTGAGTCATTCAAAAGTCAAACATCTGCGGCACCCATCCATAGCACGGCGCGGTTTCAGTAGCGGGTGTGTCCAAACCGCTGCACGTAACTCAACATCCTGTCGAGTACGAAGCACACTGGGAGAGCTCATAACAAAGCGCTACAGCAAGCTGCGCTCGCATGAACGGAAGGGCTGCACACAGTTGCGGCCCATTCCACCAGAACAATGTTACTTCAAGCTCATTCCACCCGGACAATATCTGGAAACGACGGCGTAGACTTGTCGTTTGGTACAATCACCGAGGCCACTATAACAGGGCTATCACTGAAAACGGGACCACGGACTGGCGCGCTGGTGCCATCACCAATAGGAAGCCCTGTGCGACGATGTGGGAGCGGAGTGTCGTTCAACAGGGGATGCAATCACGGCGCCATTACGACGCAGTTCATGTCAGGATCACTGCACTAAATGCACGTGGTAATGATAAAAAACGCGACATACAAGGCGCATGGGTTCCAGTCATCACATGAAGCTGTTATATTACGCCAGGGGGCAGGAATAGCCTACGTGTTTCCGTGACGCATCAACTGGCTCACGTTTCTAGCACACGAGTGTTCGCCTAAGCCTTATCATAAGGGCATCCGTGCCTATGAACAAATTGGGCACTGAAATTGTAAATGGTTACAAGGGAAGATGCTGCATGCATTAATGCTACGATGATTTCATCAAATGCATGCGTTAAGGTAGCAGCTTGCAAGGAATTCAGGCTTCATCTATCACAATTCACACTGATATCAAAGCCACCTATACGTCCTTCAAACTGTCCACATAGCGAGCCACTGGGATGCTAACGACTGTCAAGTATACGCATCAATTTTCTCAGGAACGCCACGCCCTGACAATTCTGATAAAACACCGGATCAGCCGAGCACTGCTCAAGTATGTGGCAATCGGCTGAAAAATCACAAGCCTCAAAACAGC